GCAGCCTCGGGCACTTGCTACCCGTTTCTCGGTCGATTGCATCCAACTAACGTGTGTTAAATCATACCAGTTTACGTTCGAATAAGTTTTCGTTCGGCCTAGCAAAGCAGCGCGTTTCTTGCGCTCATACGCTGCGAGGTGTTTATCCGGAAAGTGATAGGAGGAAGTATTGCGCAATTCTTGCGATGGAACCTAAAAAGTTGGGTTCGAGCCCTATTTTTTATTACACGCTTTGTGGAATGTCTGATTTTCACACTCTACATACGTTCGGTATGAATAAAGGAACTTAGTGAAACAATGACAGCTTGTTTGAAAGATCGATGATCATGGTCCCTGACGTAGTTACTGGACAGAAGAACCGGAAGTGTCATTCGATGCAATATGCGTCATAAAGACGTTATGCTACCGGAACTGGACAAAGACCATGTGGGTGGCCTAACCTCAGACAACAAGCAACTGCCATCTGAAAGAAAGAAGTAAAGGTGCCGGAATAAAACAAAGTTGTTAAAACTGTTAAGCGTTGTGTCGCAAGCTTTAATCGTCATACGCAAAATTGCACTTAGGTAACACGGATCGTTTTGAAGGTAACGGGTGGCCTCTGGGATTTTTCTTTTTCTTCCATTTATTTTCTTTTTGTTTCCTTCAACCCCTTTCCTTAATCGCTCTTTGTTTTTCTCACTCTCTTCCTACTTGTATCCTTTGCATTATGGTTTACACCAGTACTACTGTAGAGTATGACGACAGTTGTGATTATACAGGATCTTAGGGCGTTGTTGCCACCCGCCCTTGTTTCTAGAATCCTACAAAGACCGTTTAAACCGTTTGCGGTCCCATTGTATCTGACTACTAGATTGATGAGATGCAACCGGCATCGCAAGTAACTAGGGCATGAACCGGACATGTCTCAGCGCAGGTTTGCAGTTGTATCGCCAACAAGACTCGTGTCTGTTTACGTCGTAGTCAACATCCGACTTAAAGAAAATTTCTTGTTTTGAAAGTGACATTAGACTCAAACACTTGTTTTGCTTCCTTTATCCGTTTTCGTCATTGTTTTTGCAATTTTCCTGTTTCGTTTTCTCCCCTCCCATTTTCTTCTCTTATCGATTCTGTGTGTGCTATCTTTCTTTTTATGCTTTATTTCCTTTTCATTTTCTCTTTCTCGTTTTCATCATTCTCATGTCTTCCGTTCAGTTCTTCATTTTTCCTCTTTTTCGTGCTCTTCTGGTTCTCGTCTAACATATTTGCGTTCCCTTTCTTCGTCAGATTTTTAATCTTTTTTTCCATCTGTTTCTTTCTCTACTTTCGTGTTGTTCTCTTCTTATTCACCTCTTATATTTTCCTGTCCTCCTCTTCTTGATTATTGTCCTTTTCTTTCTCTTCCTTTCTCTCCGTTGGCTGTTCTTGACCCCCTTTCTTCTTTTTTTCACTTCCTCTTCTTTCTGTTCATCTCGGTTCTCTTTCAGTTTTTCTCCTTGTCCTTTCTTTATCCTATTTCCGTCTTCCGGTTTTTCTCTCCTGCTGGCGCTCTCCCTTTCGCGTTTTTTCCATTTCCTTGTTTTTTCCTCGTTTTTCCTCTGTTCTTCCCCTGTTATTCCTTTTGTTTTTTCTCTTCCTTCTTTTTTTATCTCCCGTCTCCTTTTTCGGTTCATCACCTTTTCATCTTCTCTTTCTCTTCTTTCAATCAGTGCTCATCTACTGCTTGCATCGTAACTCTGTTTCATAATTAATTTTAAACGTATGTCAACATATAAATGGCCTGTACTTGTCATTTTGCATATCGCTGACCTCTGATCGACAATCTGGCGGTAGAGTACAACCGGAACGTCTTGCCACCATCGTCTTGAACGAGTCTGGTTATTTCCTTTCCGCAGTAGTCGCAGGTTACATCGTCGATTGACCTCGAAACTGTGGCAGTCGGTTAGGCCGTTTTTTGTGCTGTTTCGGCACCTATAAAGAATGCAGGTGCGATAGACGTCGCAACGAGAGTTTGTTAAACTCGGACCACCTCGTTTTTGGCTCGACGACCTTAGGACGACGAACACGACGTGACACGAACACCGTCGAAAGACGTTCACGTTCTACACAGCGGAGGACACGTGTCGAAGTACTGGCGATGGACATCGCATCGCTCGTCGGCTGGTCAGCGTTGACGCTGTTGCTGTTCTTCATCCTTCGCGACACCGTACGCAACTGCTACTATTTCATCTTCATCAGGAAATATGGTCTGACGAAGGATCTTCGCTCCTTTGGTTCCTGGGCAGGTACGAAGCTTGTAGCCTGTTTTGGTCTTACGACGTTTTCGCATCATTACCTTTACGTTTACCGCAGATCGTGCTGCGTTAATGGCGGATCACCGATCGACTTTTTATCTTGTACAATTTTTTTTTAATTTATAATTTTTAATTTTGCATGTAATACTATGTAGATATCGTAGTGAAGAAACAGCTCAACGGATTTAGTTATGCAAGCGCGATGCGGGGTTCTCTCAGTTTATGGATCAGTTCCGATGTTTCTAGCAGTATCCCACGGACCTCATAAAGGTAGAAGTTGTGGACTTGGTTGCTGTCGGCGTATCTTACGGTAGCTGGTTCATTTTTAGCTAGAAGGCAAGCTCTTGATCCGATTTAATAATATCTCAACGACAGTTACGACTTGGGTCATCCGATCTTGTGAAATTAGACAACCCTCGTCGTGATTGTCGTTAAGCATTAAATCAGCATCATGGATTACGAGCTCGTCTCCTCGCGTACGCTACTGATTGACGGTTGCTTACTTTATGGTAAAGTTTGTTAATATCGTTTTATGGTGATCGTTTTCTGAAACTTTGCCGACCCTACTGTCTTGGCTATCGTCTCAAGCGTCTGATGTCAATTTGCGCATGTTGTACGAATGTTCTTGAAGAGAATTGTCAGACTGCTATTTTTTGTTCGGCCGAAGGGACCATAACAAAGTTTAGGATGATTTGCACCCAGTGGATATAAAAATAATTTGTGCGGTTGTGCCGTGAACGATTATTGCTGTCGTCATGTGATGTCCTATGCGAGCGAGGGAAAATTTATTTTGCATAAAGAGCTAAGTTTCGATCGTTTTCTTCCCTCAGGGTGCAGTATGTATAGGCAAATGTATGTACGAAGACACAAACGGTGTCGAAAACATAGGTGCTGTTGTATTTGAGGTATTTGTTGTAATGAATTAATATCTTCCTCGTAAATGTCGAAAAGAGCAGAAAACACGTCTTATCTGTACATAATGCAAATAATTTTGTCAGTCGCGTGACTGACCAGTAGAGTTTTTTTCCCTGTATCTCACTGGCCCTCTTTAAGTCAGAGAATTGAGTGTGCTTCAGAAGTCTTGTGCAGCAGTTCGTTCGTTATTCGTCAAAAATCCGCAGCTCGCTCAAGTTTCTTCGTTGAAGACAGATAGCTCGTAAGACGCGGGCCAAAACGTCCATATTGATTGACCAATCACCCTATGAATTAAATTATTTACGTTGTATATGAACAAACCGTGTTTTATACTGTTTTCATTATGGTCGCCAGGATCTGAACCAAGGTCTCAATACCCTAAATGTCATTATAAAGTCTCACAACCGTTACCACAGATGTGCAGACAATTGCGACGTACATAAATTCGTCTTATACAAATTCTAGCTTAAGCTCGTTATTCTGTAAGGGCTATGGAAATAATTTATAGTTATAAAAATTGGACTTAATTCGTCTGCGTCACTCGTTCGCCACCTGAAAGCGGTCTGCCGCAAGATTATGAACAAAAATTTTAATTTAACAATTCAAAATTTCTGGAATTACTATTATATTTTTCAGGCTATGCGAAACATTTCACAGGCATGGGAAAAAGTAACACAATTTAATGTGTTCGGTTTGAAAAAAAATTTGTTACATTTCTTACAGTTTCGATGAAGACGAAACCTTTGAAGACTTGACTAAAAATAGCAAGGTTTACTGGATAACTAAAATGATAAGTTAAGCGTATGAGGACCGAATTGCTTTACTCCTTGGGAATGTATTTTCAAATAAAGAACTCAATGAATTAAAAGCTGCAAACGTTGCTTCCGATATTGACGCTTTAAAACCATAGCTTTCGTGAAGAAGCAGACAATAATTGCGTTCAGTTATTTGTCAACAGGAATGGCACTAAAAAGGATGGATCCAAACCCCTCAATCTTCTTAAAAGTCCAAAGAAAAATAGATTACGCTTTAGCATGTAATAGCGATTTATGCACAGAAAAAGTAAACCGTTGCAGAGTCATCTCTTGATAATTTTATAAGGTCAAATTAAATATTTTTATGGAAAATAAGACAGAGTATAAACCCTATGTTCTGAGGTAGCTCTCACGAATAGGAACTTTCGGTGCCTCCAGTAAATGCTGCATTTCAAATTCTGATACCGAATTTACACGTCGAAAATGTACCGTGTAAAGAAAAAAATATTTTTCTTTACACTTATGCAAGACAGGAAGAAGTCTTTATTGCTGGTTGTGCCGCCCTCTTGCGGTTGAATGAACATGCCATTGCTCAACCCAAATCAATGATGCAGTCGTGCGTCCTATTCTCTGCAGGCGATCAAATACCAGGAAGCCTTGGGGTGCTTGACCGATATCTTATGATGCTAGCAGAAATGGGGCAGTGCGCTACGCGGAGAAAGTTCGGCGTTAATCTATTTAAATGAACATTTTCATTTAGTTATTGAAATAATTTAGATCAGATTCGGCAAATGCGGAACCTCTGTTGTATCCGCAATGATAGTACATCTTAAAGTGGCAAGCCGCCTATGGATAGGGTAAAACTTTGTGTAGTTGATTTTCCATTTTCTTTGATCATGAGTTTTGTTTGGTCCCCGACTCATGTCATTTCTTGGTGCAGGGCTGGAATACGGTGATGAGTGTGTAACGAGTTTCTGGAGTTCAAATAAGGTACGTTTTTGACTACTTAATCATGTAACCGATATGGTTATGCTGGACTGATTTGTTTGTTTCTTCCTAGTTGTAAATTTTGCTTTTTGTCCGTTCCACCAAGATCGTCTTTTCCGTCACTTGGCTTCCATGCTAGTGATGCTGCTTACACTGAACTATAATTGAATTTCCTTACATCGCATAAGAGGGAAATAAGAAAATGCTCTCGTGTATAAATGCAGCGAGAGTACTGAACTGCTCAGTCCGTCTGGATCTTAAGGGTGGTATGTGACAGTATTCATTCCGAGATTACGGCTTTACTGACTTCGGTGTTGTCGTGGCTTCTGACACCGACGTCTTCGTCACCGATTTTCACAGATACCATGATGTTACCATTGAATCCATGTTGACAACTTCGTTATGTAGGAGAGCTGTAATTTGATTTATAGTCAAACATGGATTTCCACGGCATGTTGTCTCATTCTGTATAAACCTCACTCTGTGAAGTCACAAAAATTCTAATCAAGCCAGCGGGTTTACCTCCTAAATTACCAAGCATGTTGAACTACACTAACTGACTAGCGTGACTTCAGCGATCACCGACTCACTTCTATAACAATATACGTGTAGTGCATGAGAACAAACAACATGCACAATAATGTGGTAAGGAATAATGAATCATTAAGAGAAAAGGAAATGATCGGTAGAGAGTTATTGCATATGAATATTTCATTGCATGGGTTTACTGAGTTGATTGATTCGAGCAGATGTCGCGTTTGCGTTTCCTCGTTCTTCTGTGTCGGAGCCTTCTGCGGGATTTGTAATTCCGTATCTTTTTATTTCTCAATCCTCAGATGTGGAATGAGGCTTTGAGGAGCATTTTGAAAGAACCTCATGCGGGCAGTGGAAACGATGTGTTAGAATAGAATTTGTTAGCTTTTTAATCGATCTAACAGTCTGGTCTACCACGGTGTTTAACACGTTCTTACAGAAGGAAAGGAAAGTTTGTCACGTTGGAACGGCTCTCTTCTTCACTTTCGTTATTGGGCCAATTTGGTACCTTCTTTGCATGAAATTGAGGATGCGGTGTTAAACTCAGTTTCTGTGCCATCAATCAGGAGTAGTATCTAATTGTTTAAAGGTAGAGTCTGCTGCCATGTGGCTAGCATAGCGTCTCGTCTCTTTCTCATAGAGCGATACTCATTTATCAACATCGAGAGAAAAAGCTACGAGGGATATACCGGTTCTGAATTCGACACTCTACTGACTCGAGGTCCCTGGTCTCGAGCAATGTGCGGTAAATTCCTTACGCAAGAGAGTTCGTGAACAAGGCTAAGAATGCCCATGAGCGGAATCGAATTCGGCACCTCAGGAGTTCGAAGCAGATCTTTTAGACATCGGTGCCAATACACCACAATGACAGGGTAGCTGACCTGCTCTGTCAGCGGTTTTCAGAACCGATCGAAGTTTGCGGAAGCATCGGTTGTAACTGAATTCTTTGGTTTCCTGTTTTACTGTATTCTTTTGAGGTTGCCGTTTGGCAAAATTTGCGAAATTGCCGAAATCGCTGCAATTGACCGTCGTCGTTTTTCCTCGATCCTTCGTTTCTCGCTTGATATGGTCTTAATGGTTGTCAACGATCTAAGTCATTGTCGTTGTTACCGTTTCATCTCTGCTACTAAACCGGAAGTTACACCATTATGTAAAGTTTATGACAAGCATAGCAGTTTTTGAGTAACTTTTAAAGTAGGATTATTGATATTATTTCGTTTCTGAACGGGATGTTCGCTGCAGCGGATGCAGTGCTTCTTCTTCGGTTTCATCTTCAACGGTCGTGTTTTCTTTTCACTTTTCTTTTATCTTTTGCATGGGCTAGCCTCGTCTCTTTGATCTTCACATCTTTGGCAGATAATTTTTATCTCGAAAAGAATATAGTAATTATTTATGTCATTCTTACATTTAACTCCCCATTTACATCGATTCCAATGCTGCTATACTCACTTCAAACGTCGTTCTGAGACCTTCGTTTTCATTGGCTTCCTTGCGATGTGTAAATTCTCTCACAAACTGCCACCTTTTCAATGAAAAGCATTCAAATTTACTGATTTACCGAGGGATATGCCCATCTTCCGTGTATTTAATCAGTAAAATTCATTCACATTTTACTAATGTTGGGTGACTCTCTTTGAGGCTCTTTTTCATTGGAAATCTTGCGCGCAAAGCGTGCTTCAGAGTCACTTGTTCGCGACCTTCAACCTTTGAACGTTTTTTTCTTCTTCTATTTTTGTGTTTGCACCTATTGGCACTGCGATCTTGTTCCACAAAGGTGCCAGTCGTTTCACATTAACGTCATTAACCTCAGAGATCGAGAAATGTAGAGCAACAAGTCACTCAACCGAAGTTTCAGGATTGTTTGGTTCAGCCGGTTGGAAGGCTGACTCCCGATCGAACGATCCGAGAATTTCAGAAGTGGGGTGTGGTTGATTCCTTCTATGTCTTATGGATCAGATAAATAAAAATTTCGTTACTGTAACATCTCAGTACGGGAAGTGCTGAGTAATGTAATTACTGTGTTTTTACAAATGGTATACTCGAAATGTAAATTTTAATTGCAATTTGGATTAAGAGTATGAACCCTTTCTGCGAGAAGTAGAAAGCGCTCTATACAAAATGCCGACTACAAAATCCATCGTTCTAATGGGCGATTTCAATGCATATGTCAGAGCAGACATTGAAAACTGAAAGGGCGTGATTGGAAAGAAAGGCCTTAGTGATTTCAGCAGTACGGCTTGAAGTATTTGCGATTTTATGCAAACAACAGTCTGTCTGTGACAGTGAAAGTATTGGCGAAGTGTCGGCGTCGAATTTCCAGACGGCAAACAAAGTATCCTGGCAGATCACTTCAAAGCTGATAAGAAGGGTTGTCTGCTAGTCATGAGGGTAAATCCTGATGCCGTTTTACCGTACTTCACCGTTGGAGAGAGTACTTTGAGTTGCTTCTTAACTCTGAGCAACAGCAGGAAGACTCACCTGGAGATCAGCAGCAGCGGATGTTAATTTTTCAGCGGACGAAATCACAGAAGCTGTAGAAAACTTGACAAGTGGTAAAGCTTATTGAATCGATGAAATGTGCCCTGAAATGCCTAAAGTTTCAGGCGATCATTGCAAGTTGAGGCTAACACATGTCTGTCAACGTGCGCCTGTGAACTTGAGAGAGCTGGGACGTTAGTCCTCTTGTTAAAGAAGGGAGGCTATAGTGAATGCTCCAGTCATCGGCACATTACCTGCCCAAGCTTCCCGGAATCAGTCTGCCAGAAGGTGTTGGAAAGGAGGCGGCATGGAATAGCCGACTCTATGAACCAAGAAGAGATGTGTGGCTTCGGGTCTGGCTGAAACGACTCTGATCAAATTTTCGCCTTACGCCAGATTGTGAAGAAATCGTGGGGGTTTGAACAACCGGTTTACATGTGCTTTATTAGTGTGGAGAACATCTATGACCGGATCTCTCGCAAAAAGACTCTGGGCGTGTCTGCAAACATATGAGATCGATGGCCAATTTTTACGAGTTACGTTACCGCAGCACAGATGAGTTTGAAGACAGTGTTTTGTGTGTAGGTCGATCTTCATACAGGTAGTCACCTACGATCATTTGTCGTTTGCAGTGGCAGTGAAACTGATCCTGGGTGCACATGGCTGAAATGTGCTTTTTGAGACGAATGGCTGGGCTATTGCGCTTGGACAAAATCCTGAGTTCGGAAAGGGATAGTGTTTGGCATGCAACCGTTACTTCTGCCAATTGAATAGTCACAGCTGCGGCGGTTTTGGCATGTTTTGAGAATGCCTCCAGATAAAAAGACGGAAATGCTGTTACTTTCTGTACCGTCCGGCCGAAGCCCGTTGGGTCAGCCAAGAATGGTCTTTGGCGAATATTTCCAAGTACTGATCCAGACTCAGGTCGTCTTCGATAGTCGGAACACAAACGCTGGCTGGAAGTACTGTCTGACACGACTGTCTCGGCGATCACAAATATTGAGCGGTCATCGAAACTGACTGAATGGATCCGGCTATCGTTTCGTATATTCGTGTCTTATCTGATGAAATTGATAGTATTTTTCTAAAAAGTATCTTAACGCGCCTATCTTTATAGAATACGGGTTGGAATTCATATTGTACAAAAAAATTTATCATCCCGCATGCAAATCCTGTTCCATTACATATGAAGATAGTGAGCGCATTTGCAATGCGTAAACTTTTAGACTTTTCAAAGAATTAAATGTAGTCAATTTATTAGCCGAAACAGTTTTGCTTTGTTACCTACTGCCTGAAAAATCAGTTCGATTGGACAGTGCTAGCGTCACGATGATCGATCAGCACGATCAGGATAAAATTACTGTTCACAGTTTTTCGAACTTATGTAAGACTCGCAACGGCACGGTAATTCGTTTCGTATCTCTAGGGCATACGGTCGATTACAGTGCATCGTTTGACTGTTTTCATAATTTTTTGTACCTGTGATCAAGGTGATTTACGACGCAGCTGTTAACCTTTTTTTATATTATTGTTTTTCTTAGCGATTTTCAGTCTAGATTTTCTAAAACATCACCAGTTGTAATAGAGACTACCAT